TCGGAAGCCATATTCCTGCACGCGTTCAAGTACTGCGCACACTCGGTCTTGGGGCTCAGCCGGGGAGCGACCCATGATGATGATGTCGTCCAGGTACTCAGCCGTGCCAGGAATGCCGGAGAGCATTACATTCATAGTTTGCTGGAACAGGGTCGGAGCGGTCTTGGCACTTTCGGGCAGTCTGGTGTACTGGAACAGACCGCGGCGTGTTTCTTGTCAGAAATTCGCGCGACTTTGGAGCGACTTCGACCTGCAAGTACGCATCAGCCAGATACAACTTGGCAAAGCAAGTGCCATCACTCAGCAGGGTGAACAGTGTTAAAAGAAACCTAACGCCTAGCATAAAGGCAACAAGTAGCTGCGTTCACAATAGGCTATCGATCGGCCTATGCGCGAGCTAGCACATCTTTCCAGAAAATCAATCAAGAATTTGAAGTTCTAGCTATACCCAATAATTTCGGCGACTTTTTCAGGGTAGAATCTGATTGGCTCAAGGGAGATCGGTTACCCACGGTTGTTTCCCAAATACATTTTGCTTCATACATTAAAATACTTCTACCGTTGCACCCTTCTTGTCGTGTTCTTCCTTTGGGGACCCACACAAGGCGTTATTTGACGGCGATATCTCGGCCTGGGCACCCGTTACAACAAACGAATCAGCGGGGCCGGCAGCTGATCGCATTTCGGCGTCAGAGCGGCGGTGAGGCCGGTGGAAAAATCGGCGCAGATACTAATCGAACCATTCAGTTTCCTGACAACAACAATGGGGGCAGCGCAGGCGGAGTAGGACACAGGTGTCAGTACTCCAAGTTCCCCCAAGCACTTCAGTTCAGCATCGACAAGAGGCAGAGCTGCATATGGAACGGGTCTCTTTGGGTGGAAGACTGGATGCCTTCCAGGACAGAGATGAAGCATGGCTTGCGTGTGTGTGCAACGACCAAAGCCGTCTTAGAACACTGAAGCAAACCGCTGGAGAATATCCTTGGCGGGGTGTGCAGGTACAGCAAAGATCTGCACTTGAATGCAAGCAAGCCGGAGCGGCAAATAAACCAAGACAAGTTGATCAATGCAGTCGAGCCTAAGAAGACTGAGATTAGACTTGGTAATGTAGCGGGTAGCAGTGATGTTAGTGTCGCAGAAGGAGACACAGCATTGCAGTTGCCCCATTAACTATGAAACTTACTATGAAACAGTAACACATATAATATTATAATTTATACTTTGCTAGTATTGTGCCTTTGAAGTCAGGCTTTTTCTCACTTAAAACGAACTCCTTATTTCGCATGCTACTGACCAAGCACAAAACTAAAACAATGCCAGTAGTAAGTGAAAATGCAGGGGCTTGATTTGTGTTTTTCTTGTCTTCTGGTGTTCTGACGGCGCCTTAGATGTTCTTTACAAATAAACCTTATTATTATTAACTGGACAAGGCCACCGCACGCACTTGTGGCAAACTGAGAAGTCTGCTGCATGGTGGGGGCGCCAAGTGACTGCCAGACAGTCTCAGATATGATTGGGATATCTGAAGCGGTGTCCAGTTGTAGGCGAACTGTATGACCGTTCAAAAGTAGATAAACGAACTTCCGGCGATCAACTGCGTTAACGTGAAAGGTGGCCAACAGACTCAGAGAATTTCCGAGAGTCTGTGTCTTTGACTTGCTTTTTGGGTTAAAGCGGCGCTTTTGATTGGAATTGACAGGGGCGGGCTTGCCTACAGGAGTTGAGGATTGGCAAAACC